AAATTTTATTTATGATAGAAAAATATAATAAAAAACATAAAATACATAATATAAATATATAAAAAGTGTATAAAGCCATATTTGCCTTTTACAAAAATTAATAGTAAAAAAAATAATTAGCAAATATGGCGAAACCCAATTAGACAAAAAATAAATTAGCAGAATTAATACTGGAAAGAATATATAAATAGAATCTGTAGTAAATATGCTTATAAAGCAAAGAACATGAACTGAAATAAAAAGCAAAGGCCAAATTATAAAGCGCCATAGAACTAAATCAAAAAAAATACAATAAGGGTTTAAAATAAATAATAATATAAATTTTAAGATATTGTTAAAATAATAAAGTACCAACTCTGGAATTTTTTTTAGCACTACATTTATGCTTTGATTAAAATTATTAACTGCAAGAACTTCATATTCATCAACAGTAAACTGACTTGAATTAGTTATTCTATGATGATAATGATTCGAATGTGCATAACTCCAACAATTTGAATTCATTTGTAATTCAAAATTTCCAAAACAAGGTCCATGGTATTTATCACTCCAGATAGCCTTATTATTTCTTCCTGTAACCATTCTACTTAATATTGGATTTGATGGATTAGTAAATGAAAAAATGAAACTATTTGGAGTTTCACTAGAATATGCTTTCTCGTTAAATCCAAAATATCTAAAATACCTATTACAATAAAGTTCAAGATCAGATTTAACAAATTTAGCCCAATATGTAGGATTATATCCACCTATCAATTCACCAGTTTCTTTAATCTTAAGTATTACAATAGTTGGACCTTGAAAATCACATAATTTATGAAATGTATCAATATCAAAACCATCTCTACTTCCACGTAACAAAAGTTTAAACTTATAAGGGTCAGTAGCATTTGTATAATAATCATTGTTTTTTCGATCAATCCAGCTTGAGATCGTAGCTTTAATATCATTAGAAATTAATCTAGAAAATCCTCTTTGACAAGTATTGCATTTGTTAAATGCACTATGATCTAGACGGTATTGTTTAATTTGTTTATCGATATAATTTTTAGGAATATGACAATAACGAATTAAGGGAATGCATTGAGAAATTGTTTCTTTCAATGCTTCAAATTGATTATCAGACCAACTTGTAATATCTTCATCAGATAAATTTAAGATATCTTCATCAGATAAATTTGAGACATCTTCGTCAGATAAATTTGAGACATCTTCGTCAGATAAATTTGAGTTATTTTCATCAAGAAGTTTTTTAGAATTAGCAATACCCCATTTAATCAAAAAATCCCAAATTTCTATTTCTTCAAGATTGAGATCATCACTTTTTAAAAGACATATCAGAGCCACTTTATCTAATAATAAAAAGTATTTGGAATTAAAAAGTGAATAAGGATTTTTGCAAGTAAAATTTAAAACAAGATTATATAATTCATAGAAATGATCATGTTGACAAGTAAAATTAAGTGATGTTATAAGATTAGAAAACAACCAAGAAGAATGCTTTCTAATTAAATGTTCTTGTGCACATTTCGCAAGATTAAGAAGTTCAAGTTCGTCTGATGCAGCCAGTAAATTTAAACAAGTTTCGGCAGATGCTCGTAATATGGTTTTTTCTTTATAAATGTAACTTATAAATTATTAAAAAAATTTCATTAGCATATAATTACTATAAAAGATATTATATAAGAGCACACCTACTCAAGTATAATCTCAAAAGTATCTGGATAAATATTTGGATTTTTAAAAACATAAAAATCTTGTTCTTTGTTATTCCATCGTTCGGATAAGGCTCTTTGAAAATAAAGAGAACGTGAACTTAAAATTGTTGAATGCGCTTTAAATTCCTTAGTATTTCGTCCATTTCCAACGATTATTTTTACGTCAAAATCACTATCGCTAGAAGTTTTAAAACTCATTTTGGTCAACCTTTGCACACAAGCATGTTATGTCGTACATATGTACAATAAATTAAATAAATCACCAAAGTGATTATCGGTTAATCAGTTAGATAAAATAAAAAAGACGAATGCCAAAAAAGGCCTTTACGTTACAATAGGCTAAATGTCAGTACCATTTTAAAGTGTTCTCAGTGTCGTGATTCTGCAATACATTATACATTATCTGTCTGAATCAGTGTAGACGTTTACGTATAAAGAATTTTTAGATAATTTTAGTGCACCTACGTACGAGAAATTTTTTTTTACCTTGTAATTTTGGCCAATCAAATTTACAAAAAAAAAAAAAAATAGAAATAGGTTTAATTAATAAACCAAATTCAACAGTCATATTCTTTATGAAGTCTTATTTATAGACACTAAGCTGATATAAATCTAATCTTAATTATGACGTAATTTTATTGGCTTTAATTTTACACACAACTTTGTGACATAGTAGGTAATTTTAATAAACTTTCAATCCTCGGTTTTACTTGACTCGCCGCAGACAGTATACAAGTTTTAGAATTTAAAAAGCTACCATCATTAGTTGATTCGACTAATAAATAACAGATCCATATCTCGAATAATAGAATTAGTGAACGTAAAATACGAACAAGATTAGAAAAAAAAAATCGAAATAAAGCTCGAAATGGTCCTAACACAAAATTTGATTCGTGCTAAAAATAATAACCTTCCAAAGTGGTTTTAAAATTGATTCAAATATCGGTTTTGTATACCAATTTTGGACATTCTAACAATCAAATTCGAACATCTTAGCAATCAAATTCGGACGGAAATATCTCGCAATCTAGTGATCCGAATCACGTGATTTTGATACCATTCGAGAACAACCCTAGCGTCGCCATGAAAAAATGGTAGCCGGATTTTTTTTGCCGGCCTACATATGACTTCGGATGACAATTGCCGGGTAGACTCATAAATTTTTTTTTGCTGATTAAGCTATATCGATATACGTTTGAAACTTTAAGTATTATTAAAGAACTTTAACATTAAATATAATGCATAGTAGCTATTTCTGACACATGTTTTAGCATATGAAGTAATAAATAAACATACTAACGCTAATATAACAATAGATTCAATTGAGTAACAAATTTTTTTTACCCAAATTCCAGCTTTTCTATTTTAAATTATATTATTTTCACCACGAATTATAGTGTATATATTATTTTGAATAATATAATTAGAAATGTACGTTCATCCCTAACTGTTTGCCGCAAAAATAAATATAAGTTTATCATTCCCAATATCTTGTATTATTATTAAAGTCTTGCCATGTTCTTGGCATCGTTCGTTGGTTATTTAATAATAAAATGTCATTATTCATTTTTTCCAGTAATCTAAAATTCAGGCAAATATTGTGCAGCCATAAATGTCCTTTCGACTTGGTACGTGATTCTTCAAGAAGCTCTTTGGTCTTAAAATACGATAGAATTTTTTAATTTTTTTTTAAAAAAAAAAATAATAATAATAATAAAATTTAAATACCTTATCTAAGACTTTATGCAAATATGCTAACTCTGATTCGTACATATCTCATTCATCATCACTGCTTTCAATAACATAATCGTCTTCTTACTTAATTTGTGGGTTTTGAATTAATGGAAAAGTTAAATTTTCATAATTCTTTGTATCTTCCGAGTTAAACATGTTCACCAATTTGCTTTTATATAAAAAAATTAGTGGATATTTTCCATTTCGCTGCACCTATAATATAAAATAGTATGATATATATATATATATATTGAATCTCAAATAATTA